CCCCCCCCCCCAAGCATTTAATCATGTTTTCAAAAAGGTGTCACAACTCTATGACGCGGTTATCCTCTTAAAGGCAGCTGTCTGGATTTTGCTAGCGATGAGCATAATCTCGTTTAGCCGCGAGGCAGAAAGACGGCATCGCGTCCCTCAGAAGTTTAAACCTCGAAGGCGAGAGAGAGATAGAGAAGAGGAAAGTCAGAGGTTTTCTTTTTCCCGTCAGGATGGGGAACTCAAAGAGCAGCGCTCTGTCCAAGGAGCTCCTGGAGGACCTGAAGTCCAACACCAAGTACTCGGAGACGGAGCTGAGCACCTGGTACCAGTCCTTCCTGAAGGAGTGCCCCACAGGGAAGATCACCAAGGAGCAGTTCGAGGGGATCTACGCCAGCTTCTTCCCGGGGGCCGACCCCACGGCCTACGCCCGCCACGTCTTCCGCAGCTTCGACACCAACGCCGACGGCACGCTGGACTTCAAGGAGTACATCGTGGCGCTGCACCTGACCTCGGGGGGGAAGACTCTGCAGAAGCTGGAGTGGGCCTTCGCCCTGTACGACGTCGACGGCAACGGCACCATCAGCAAGAGCGAGATCCAGGAGATCGTCAGGGTACCTACGCCTCATTCCTGCTCCCCGACAAATACAAAAAAAGAGCCCTCGATTTTGCTTTTAAAGATCCAGGCTCCTGCTGTTTATGTTTATGCATTTGGCAGACGCTTTTATCCAAAGCGACTTACAGAGTAGACACAATAATACATTTATCATCACTATGACAATAAGCTATACAGAGGAGAAACACTGATCAGAGTCAGTGGTGAGATAGAGATAGAGGTAGAGGGACTACAGAAGGAGCTGTGGGGGGGTAGAGGTACGGGTTAGGGTTAGGATAGGAGATGAGATCCTGCTGTTAGTGGTTAGTTAATGGTCAGGGTACCTACCGAGGGGGAAATAAGTATTTGACCCCTTGATGATTTTGCAGGTTTGCCCACTTACAAAGAATGCAACGATCTATAACTTTAATCATATGTACATTCTAACAGTGAAAGACAGAATCCCAAAGAAAATTCCAGAAAATCACATCATATGAATTTATAAAAATTGATAGCCATCTGATGAGGAAAAATAGGCATTCTTTGTAAGTGGGCAAACCTGCAAAATCAGCAAGGGGTCAAATACTTATTTCCCCCACTGTATGCCTCATTCCTGCTCCCAGAAAAAACACAGAAAAGAGCCCTCGATTGGGCTTTTAGAGATCCAGGGTCCTGCCGTTGTACCAATGTGGTTTAGTTTACTTTTATTTAGTGGTTGGGGATGTGACTGCAGCTTTTAGGGCCTCTTAAAGTACACAAATGGGCTTCTGGGTTTAATTTATTAGCCAAACAGAGGACACAGACAGAAAAAGTAGCTGGGGAGACACAAGTGTACTATTACTAAACCATGGCTATATTTCTCAAATTGTAATTGCCTTCCAAAACATTTCAAAGCTTAAAAAAAAACCCATCTTAAATAATCTAAAAAAGCTGGAATTAATCTTTTCATGTATGACTTTATATGCATAGATTAATAGCCAAAAAAACATGTGAAAAATTCAGAGTATTAAAAAATTATATTTTTGATTATGTAAACATGAAGTTTTGTATTTACCAGCTATATTTTTCCGTTTGATTAATACTATAAAAGGCTCTTAAGACGGTTGGTTGTGGATGTTTGTTTGTTTGCAAAGTCCTGGCTGGTTTTTCAATCCTCCTCAAGCTTTTGAAGGTGTCTTAAAAACGTGATTTCCTCCGCAGTCGATATTCAACATGATCCCGGCGGCGGACCAGGGGAACCTCCCCGAGGACGAGAACACGCCGGAGAAGCGGGCCGAGAAAATCTGGGCGTTTTTTGGCAAGAAGGAGAATGGTAACCCCTGTTAGATTTGGTTCTTTAGTTGGAAGCCTGAGAATAAACCAGAGCAGATCAAGAGTACAAATATGACATTTATCGGTCACAAGTAAAGTAAATCAGACCAAGTTCCCGGAGGATCTCAGTTAGCAAAAAGCCTCGATTTCCGGGTGTGGTGGACAGTTTTCCTCTGGGCCTCCAACAGGAGGACGAGTGTTATTGGCCAGTTAGCTCTGACATGAACAGGCCAGGTCCTAATTCATGCAGGTTTCAGTGAAATATGTAAAGAAAGTGTGAATGTTGACCTTAAAGACGAGTATCTACTGTAACAGAGAGAGAGGAGGAGGCACAGCCAGAGAGTTTAACCCAAAAGTATCATTATAAAGGGAATCATATGAATCCAAAAAGGAATAAGTTGCTACAAGCATGCTACAACTTACATGGATTAAGTTGTAGCATGCTATGCTAACGTGAATAATTATAGCCCGATTCTAACAACCCGAATTCTGTCGCCTCCCTTCTCTCATCCATCAGAGCTTTAAAAGGAGACGTTTGACAGGCTCACCATCTCTCTTTTCCCCCCTTTTTTCAGACAAAATCTCAGAGGGAGAATTCATTCAGGGCGTGATGGACAACAAGGACATCCTGCGCTTGATACAATACGACGAGCCCCAGAAAATCAAAGACAAGCTAAAAGAGAAGAAGCAATAACATAAGGAGAAAGGTGGTTTATAGACTGTTTCATTCGCATTGTAACGTCCTCCGTCTGCTTGTCTGTTTGAGCTGCTTTTCCCTCTCCGTGACGCTGTTTAGGCAGGCGGCTGAACGGTGTTTTACTCCACTCTGTGAGCAGAAAACCACAGGAGGGTCCGTGTGGGGAGCACCCCACCCCTCGTTCTTAACTCATTGGCTGCCAAAGACGTCTTTAGACGTCAATTCAAATACAACCGTTGACTGCCAAAGACGTCTATAGACGTCTTTGATGTTTTTCAACGAGAGTGGTTTGGGGGACGATCTGCTAAAGCTTGTCCGTAAATATCAGGCTTCTAGACAGAGTATGTACTAACAAATTGACCATCTTTTGATGGGAGATGAGCATAGACTGTAGGCAAATAAGAAAAAGGTAACGGTTCACTATGAGAGAACATGGCGCCGGTGAGACGCAAGTCCAGGAAGAACGGAATAAGGTAGAAACAATTTTTTTTTCCTGATGAAAGAAGAGAGTCTACTCTTTCTTTTGGCGTGTTCGGTGTTTACATAGTCATAGCACAAACTATTAAAAAACTCTGGCAGTATGGGACTCTCTGTTCTGAAAATGGCTGGCAGTCAATGAGTTAACCCGTTTATAGGAGAGCTTGTTTATTCCGTTGATATTTCGGGCGTCTTTCGGAGGTTTTTCGAGGCGTCGCCGTTCACTCATTAAGCTAAGTGAGAAGAAGAAGTCAGGAGCAGAGCTGCTTATGGGAGGAATTAGACTCGGGTTAACAACCCGCCTGTGTCAGCCGACCGGATTAGGACTGAAGGTCAGTTTGCCTTCGCTGACCCAGGAGGGAAACGCTTCCTCCACAGGACTCTCACTCGTTTTAGGAGACTTTGTCTGAGCCAGTAAAAGCAAAAACCCCTTTAAAGGAGAGCGGGAGTATGTTTATGCGGGGCTCAGCCTTTGTGTCAGCCCTTTTTGTTTTCCACTTTTCTTACAGATGTGTTTCACCGGATTTATTTTTTTCATCCTTTCATCAATTCTTGTTGACGTTTTACTGACTAAATTACAAAATGCTGCTTAATAAAGACTTGTGGCAGTCTTTCTGAATCTGGTTTTTCAGCCCCTATCTGACACTAAAACTGGGCTTGTTATATACAGTGGAAGAAATAAGTATTTGACCCCTTGCTGATTTTGCAGGTTTGCCCACTTACAAAGAATGCAACGATCTATAACTTTAATCATATGTACATTCTAACAGTGAAAGACAGAATCCCAAAGAAAATTCCAGAAAATTCCATCATATGAATTTATAAAAATTGATAACCATCTGATGAGGAAAAATAAGCATTCTTTGTAAGTGGGCAAACCTGCAAAAGCAGCAAGGGGTCAAATACTTATTTCCTCCACTGTATATATATATATATATATATATATGTTATATGCCTATAACCCATGATACTGTAATCCTTTTCCTGTAATTTTAAACTGCCTGTAGCCCGTAGAAGCTGAGCAGAAATGCCTAAATGGAGAAAAAACATAATATTTCCCTGAGGTTTTCCAAGCTTCTCCCTATTATCTGCCAGTGACACATCACATCTCCCTATGATTCAGCCCTGTTTGGCTCTATTTTGGCCCTGTTAGCCCAGTTAGTCCAGTAGGCGAAAAAATATGCTCCTGTATGCAAATGACGAATGAATGATGAATGATGAATTTGAACACAGGAAAAGGTGCCGGGGGCTTTTTGTGTTGCCATCACATGCACATATTATAAACCAAAGATACCAAAGATGGAGGCAGCAGTGGGTGAATGGAGGTGTGTTTCCCTCAGTTTGAATCTCATTGATTAACTATTGAGGATTCTGTCACAAGTAATATGTTTAAATAACACCTGCTTTGGCTTTTCCATCTAATTTAATTTGGGTATCGGCTTGGATAGATAAGCTATTTGGGAATTTCTAATATTTAATGAGCTGAAAGGCTTATTTCGGCTTATTTAAAAGCAAACCATTTTCTGTTTTACTGTCTTAGATTGATTGCAGTTTTGGAGATTGTTAAAATGAAATTTGTTGGCTTTTTTGCTCTTAAATTAATTTCTAAATTGGACATCCTGCAGACTTAATGAAATCCCATCTTCCCAGTACAGTTACATAACAATACAATGGGACGTTTCATTTTCAGAGATTTATTTGGGACACTGCATTCTGGACAGAGGTCACATATGATCAAACATCCTTCAAACAGTGGATTTAATTACAACGGTCACCAAAACAAGGGGGGTTAACTCAGCCGTCACGCCATCATGAATGCTCACCGACGACATTTATTTGGAACATAAAGACACTTAGCGCACAACACTGACACACACCGATAAAATCCCTACAACAGATACGTTATTTAAAACCTGAGGCGGTTCGGGCTGAAAGCAAAACCTGACGGGTTTCACACAGGGATGGATTTCCATGTCTCCTTTTTTTCTTTTTTCTGACTTACAGACAGATCTGTTGGTTTAAAACCCTAAAATGAAATTGAACAGAAACGTGGAGCAAACGTTTGGCGTGAAGACGACAGACGGACACAGACATGTAAACACAAACGTGTGCATGCAGTCTCTGATTTTTTCCAAATCCAAAATGGCGTCTCTTAGTCTTTTATTTATTTTATTTTTTACACCGAACCGGTTCCATTTAGCTTTGTGCTGCACGTCCACCCTTTTCACTGAACACAACCGTGGAGATTTTCCCTGCACATTTACCAAAAAAATAAAGCAAACGACATTGTACAGTGCAAACATCTGGCTGGCCCCGAACATCTGCAGCCTCCTTAAAACATCTGACAGCAAAATACATCTACCCAGTATGTACAAATGTACACCCACGCAGAGAAGGATATATCGAGGACATTCCAGGTATATAACCGTTAGGCACTAAAAGGTGTTTCAGTATAACTTGGACCACCTTTTCCCCCCCGAGCAGATCCAGAGAAGATTAAATCTGCTCAAAAACACGTTGGTACTCTCGGTACACGTCATCAAACCGACCATCCAAAACACTGTTACTTTTTTTTTTTTTTTCTTTGACAAAGCCGCCAAAATGAATGACAAGATACAGATTACCTTGTGCAAATTCAATACACTACACCAAAACGACCATCATGTTTCCACAAGTTGTGCAGCTCTCTGTGTACGATATAAGCAAGATATTCAAAACATGCATTTCCACCGAAAAATGAACCGGCAAAATATGAAAATATATCATAGTCACTCTAAGATCTTCCGTATGCTTCAGTATCTGTATCGAAAATAAAGTTGATATCGTTCGTCAGACTTGCTCTTTTTCTTTTTTAAATTCAGATTAGTCAAACTGGAAAAGTGTTGCTTGAAGCTAAACGATTCAAAACACATTTTCTTTTTTTTTTTTATCTTTTCAGCTTTTCAACAGGTAAACAACAGAGTATGTCAGATGGCATTCAGTCAGCTAATGTTGGTTATGATGGGGTTTAAAATTTAGAGGGAACATGCTGGTACTTTGATCCGTTTTCTGCCTCCTGGACTGCGTTAAACCTTCGACTCCTCGTGGCTCCAGTGAGAGGATGAGCAGACTTCTGGAGTCTGGACATGCACCGTGTGGTGTGGTCAGAAACGTCCCGGACGCGTCTCCAAACGCCGTTAAACCGAACGGGGTTAAATGTCCATGTCCACGGGCCGCACCTCGCTGGTTTTGTTCTCCTTCACCCACAGCTCTCGGTCTTTGGCCGGATCCACGGTCTGCAGAAGCTGGTCCACCGGTTCTGCCGTCTGCAGAGGCAGAAAAGCCAAAAAAAAAACCTTAAATCCCCCCATTAAAGTCCTCTAATAATTCCCTCTGTGGAGTTGTCTGGTTACTTGAGCTGTTTTTTATATTTTTAACTAGTTTCTGCTATTTTTCCTGTTGTTTTCAAGCAGTTTTTGGATGTCTTCCATTTTTCTACAGTTGTTTTTGGTTTCTATATCCTTGTTAATGTCTGTCCTCTCAGTTCCTCCAGCGCTCTGTTTCTTGGCTGAGGACCCGAGAGGACAGGTGGAGAAGAAAACACCTGCAAAAGTCTGCAAAGAAACTAAAAAAGTGGGTCAAAATCTATTAAAAAAGAGATAAGAAATTATAACAAAGAGAAAAAAATGTGTGCAAAGAGACTAAATAGCTGCAAAGAGACATTAACAAGGATATAGAAGAAAAAAAAAAACTGTACAAAAAATGGAAGACATCCACAAACTGATTGAAAACAACAGGAAAAATAGCGGAAAAATATCAAAAACAGCTCAAGTAACCAGACAACTCCACAGAGGGAATTATATGTTTTGAATAAAGGATAAAAGGGGGGCTTCTCACTAACAAAGCCTCCTTTGGCAAAGCAATGTGGTTCAGCATAGAACGGTACTCAGATTTCAGTTCTGCTGCCATAATGCTGAACAGCACAAGGTAAAAAAAAATAAAAAAAATAAAAAAATAAATAAATAAATAAATAAAGGATAAAAACAAAGAGAAATAAAAAACAAAAAGGATGACATCTGGAGAAAACGGCTTCATAAAAAGACCCAGATTTCCCAACAAAGAAGCAGAAAAATGACCATAACTACGGAAACATAACCGGGTTAGGCTTAGGGCCGTGACCTGATATCCGAACCCACAAACAGCCGTGAGGAGACACTCACGCTCTGGTTGAACATGTCGGTTTCGTGGCGCAGCGTTGTGTACTGACGGAGGTGCTGCTGGATCCACTCGATGCGCTCCACCTCCAGCTTCTCCAGCTCCTGCAGGAAAAACGATAAAAAAACACTCATCAGGGACCTCTGGGGGCTTAGAGAGGCCTGTTTGTGTGAGAGGATTCATGAGAATCAGAGGAAATAAGCAGGGTTTTTTTCAGTTTAGAGCCAAAGCACGCGATATTCTGAAGATTTCACAACAGAGAGTAATAATTAAAAGATTTTTTTCTATTAATTTATCTTGTGTGAGAGGATTCATGAGAATCAGAGGAAATAAGCAGTTTTTTTTTATTTTAAAGCCAAAGCACTTGATATTCTGAAGATTTCACAACAGAGAGAAATAAGTAAAAGATTTGTTTCTATCATTTTCTCTTCTTTTTTGCATGATGAAGAATTCTCCTGTAGGAACTTTCCTACTTCTGCATCATTTTTCTTTTTCTACCACAACAAATGAAGTCCGCACATCAAACCCCCATC